GGGGGGGACTGAGGGACATGAGGGGCAGTGCCGGCTGCCACAGGCGGGCTCTTCTGGGGGTCCCGGAGGTGCCGGTGCCGCGGGCGGGGGATGTTGGGGGTCCCGGGGTTTCCTGGTGTCGGCACCGTCCCCAGAGCCCCGTCCCGCGGGGGGGTGACACCGGGGGTCCCGCAGGTGCCGGGCGTCCCGTTGCCGCGGGAGGATGATGCGGGGGAGCGCCGGGGGGTCCCGATGTCCCCGAACCGGCACAGCCCCGGCGCGTTTCCCGTTCCCGTCCTGCGGGGGGGGTGTCCCTGTGCTCCCGGGGGTCCCTGTGCTCCCGGTCTCGGCACAGCTCCCCCCTCAGCTCCCGTTCCGTCTCGTAGGGGGGTGATGCCGAGGGTCCCTGGGGGTCTCGGGGTGGTCTCGGTGACCGTCCCCGGTGCCACAGGCGGTCGGTCGATGGTCCCGGGGGTGGCCGGGAGGCGGCGATGGGGCTGCCGGGGTCTCTGTGGGGCCCGGTGCCACAGGCAGGCGATGCTGGGAGTCCTGGGGGTCCTGGGGTCCCGGTGCCACAGGCAGGCGATGCGAGGGGTCCTGGGGGTCCCAGTGTCCCGCTGCCAGCCCAGCCCCGGCGCGGTGGCCCCGTCCCGTCTGGTCCTGGGGTTGGGCGACCCTGGGGGTCCCCAGGAGTCCCAGTGCCGCGGTTGAACGGTGCTGGGGGGTCCCGGGGGTCGCGGGGATCCCGGTGCTAGTGCAGCCCCACCCCAGCAGCCTTAGGTGGGCGGTACCGGACGGTCCCGGTGTATTCCCCGTTCCCATTCCCGGTGGGCGGTCCCGGGGGTCGCGGTGCAGCTCCCCCAGCCCCCCGTTCCCATCCGTGGCGGGCGGTGCCGGCGGTCACAGTGTATTCCCCGTTCCCATCCCCGGCGGGCAGTCCCGGGGATCCCGGTGTATTCCCCGTTCCCATCCCTGCCGGGCGGTTCCGGGGGTCCCGGTGTATCCCCCGTTCCCATCCCCGGCGGGGGGCCCGGTGTATCCCCCGTTCCCATTCCCGGTGGGCGGTCCCGGGGGTCGCGGTGCAGGCCCCCCAGCCCCCCGTTTCCCCCGGTTGCAGGTGGGCGGCGCGGTGCGGGAGATCACGGGTTACACCACCACGTACCGGCAGCGGCTCAGCGTGCGGGGGGGCGGTGCGGGGGGCGACTGCCTGCGGACCCGGCCCGGCTTCCACCACCGCCTCGCCGGCTTCCCCGCCTGCGTCGTCACCGACGGTGTCGTCAACTTCTTCCTGGCCCGCACCGACAAGGTTCGCCAGGTGGGCTTCGACCCCCGCCTGCGCCGCGTGGCTCATCTCGGTGAGCGAGGGTCGGGGGGCGCGGGGGGGGGTCGGGGGCATCCCGGGGAGCCCCGGGGTCCTGACAGGTCTGGGAGGGAGGTTTGGGGGGGTCCTGGGGGTCTGGGGGGGATCAGGAGGGGCCGGGAGGGTCTAGGGAGGTCCCAGGGGTGAGAGGACACCCGGGTGTCCCCACCGCGGGGTCACGGGGTCCCCCCACGATGGGCTCACGGGGTCCGAGTGGGGGAGGGTGCCAGGGTCCCCCCTCAGTGAGGCCATGGGGTCAGAGGTGGGAGGGGGATGCTGGGTGCCCCCTCAGTAGAGTCAGGAGGTCCCCCCACCATGGGGTCAGAGGGTCCCCTGCCACGGGGTCACGGGTTCAGAAGTGGGGGGCTGCGGGGATCTCCCCCACAGTGGGCCCGGGGGGGTCAGAGGTGGGAGGGCTGCCGGGATCCCCTCACCAAAGA